TATCTCCAACCCTTTTGCCTGACTTTGGACCCCTTTCTCCTCACTGGGCTGCCTAGTCTAGCCTCAGTAGGAGAAGACAAGCCTAGTCCTCCTGCAAGTTGATGTGCCAAGACTGATATCCATGGGAGGCCTCCCCTTTTCTTAGGCGAAAAGGAGGAGGTGTTGATAGGGGGAAGGGGAGGGGAGGAGGGAGAGGAAGCTGAAATTGGGATGTAAAGTAATTAAATAAATAACAACGACGATAATGATGGTGGTGGTGTGGTGATGATGATGACAGGTAGAATCTCCTTCCATCAGCTTGGCACACTCTTAAAAATATGTACATGAAAGGACAAGGCTGTATAGTCGAAAAGAAACTCATGGGGTCTTCCCAAAGCAGGGGGACTTTAATCCATACAGCTTAGGGCACAGTTTGGCTCAGGGCGCTCATAAGTGTCCTGGCAACCCATGCTGCTGCTTTCTTCCCCACAGGATTCCAAGACTTTATACTCAGTCTCAACAAAGCATTCCCCCCCCCCCCCCCCCCCGGCCCCATCCCATGGTCCTTAGCACAGACAGGCTCAGGAAGCTGTGGGAACTCAAAACACAAGAGACAAATGGAGGAATGAATTAATTATTTAGGAGCCTGTGCGCTGGGGATTGGCAGAGTTACAGTCGACGCTTTCTAGCAAGAACCTATCAGTGTGCTGTCAGGACTGCAGTAGCTGCTTCCCAGCTCTTCCAGGCCTCTGGCTTTCAGTTCCTGTCTAGAGTACTTGCTTTAAGCTGAGTTAGAAATCCACTTTCTGCTGGGATCCAGGTACCTTCCTCTCTAAGCCAGGGTGGGACATAGTAAATTTAAATTATCCTCAATAGCTGATAAAGACTAGATTTACCTGAAAGCAAGAAGGATAACTAGTCCCACCAGGTCCTGGGTTGATATAATGGATGGTGAGTCCAAACAGATTCTGTATTGGAAGTAAATCCCCTATGAGGAGGATTTAATGGCACCTGATTTATTTCTGAATAGAAAAAAAGCTCGGGCAGGTATGCAAACTTACGTAAGGCATACAGCTGTGCAACTCCTGTACCATCCTTAATTATTTCATACATTTCCATATGGCCACTGGGCAAAAACCAAAAAAACAAACAAACAAACAACAACAACAAAAAACTCTTCATACTGGTTTAGTGACACAAAGGAAATTACGAACTCAAAAGTTTTAAATTCATTTGTTCCTTTAATGCTTCACGTAATTTTTTTTTCTGGTTCTAGGGCTTGAACCCAGGGTTCTGTACCCAGTAGACAAATGTTCTAAGATTGAGCCACTCCTTTAGTCCTTTGTATCTTTTTTTTTAAGATTTATTTATTTTTATGTGATGTGTGTTTTGTCTGCATGTATCTATGTGCATCACATGTGTGTCTGGTGTCTACAGAGACCAAAACAGGGCATCTGATTCCCTGGAACTGGAGTTACAGACAGTTCTGAGTCCCCGGGTAGGAGCTGCGACTGAAACCTGGGTCCTCTGGAAGAGCAGCCAGTGCTCTTGAGTGCCAAGCCGTCTTTTCAGCCTCTTCTTCCTCCTCCTCCTCCTTCTTCCTTTTGAGTCAGAGTGTCTCTGTATAGTCCTGGCTGTCCTGGAACTCAGAGATCCACCTGCCTCTGCTTCCTAAATGCTGGGATCAAAGGTGTGCACCACCACTACCCAGTTTGCCCTTTGTGTCTTAAGATAGTGTCCTGCTAAATTTTTTTCTGGTGGATCCCCAAATTTGCAGTTCTTTTTCATCAGCTTCCCACACGCTGGGGTTACAGGTGAGAGCCACAGCACCTGCTTGCTTTGGGTAGGCTCTTAATAACACGCCTCACTGAGCTGTAATTCATATATCATTCAATTAACCTAGTTTAAATATATGGTTCTGTGCTCTTCAGTAGTGCAATATCCATATCTACAAACCATTCCCATGGTCTAAAATTTTACTGTCTCCCAAAGACACTCTATCCTTAACAGTCACTTTCCATCTCTCCCCACCTCATCTCCCACCGCAGCCCTCAGCAACAGCTGATCTGGTTTATGTCTCTATAGAGTTGCTGGTCTGAGCTGTGTTATGTAAAGGGGATCACACAACGTGTGCTCTTGTTTCACTTAACCTCATCTTTCCAGCGTTCAGAAGCATGTTGAACAATATCCCCTGTTCTGCCCCAGGCTTTACTCACCATTCAATAGACACTAGCCTTGTCTCTGGAGGTTTTGTTTGTTTTTCCCCATTACTCGTGCTACTGTGATGAAGATTTGAGTATTGGTTCTTTTGTGGACATAAACTTTCAGTTCTCCAGAATATATGTCCAAGAGCGTAATTGTTGTATTTGGTAACTCTAGGTATAACTTTCTGAGGAATTAGCAAACTATTTTTTCACTACATCATTTTTTACATTCTAATTGGTACTGCATGACAGATCTAACTATTCCTCTTCCTTCTCACTCCACTCGTGGGGCTAGGAATCAAACCCAGGGTCTTGAGTACACCTAGGCAAGTATTTTGTCATTGAGTTGTGCTCTCAGCCCCAGCTATTCTGCATTGTCCTCTAACCCCCAGGTTATTTACTTGAGCATGGCCTGGGCTGGAATGTCAATATGGATCATTTTGTTTACAGCCATTGTGGTTGGTGTGAAGTGATATTTCATTATAATGTCAATTTTCCTAATAAGTAAAGACAAACACCTTTCTATGCACATCGTTTTTTGGAGAAATGTCTACTCAAACCTTTGCCCTCTTTAAAATGGAGCTGTTTGTCTTTCTGTGATTGAGCCTTTCATCTTTGGCCATGCATGCATGCATGGGTACACATCTATTGGCTAGAGGAAGAATGACTTCTCTCTTGGTTCATCTCCAAAGAAAGCTTCTGTAACACAAAGCAGAGAGACGAGGAAGGTGGTGGCTGGTTCTCCTTCGAATAGGCTGTAGCTATGGGCTGGATCCTAGGCTGAGAGGGAACTCTGTGTATTACCTGCTGTGAAGCACCAGCCAGCCAGAGTAGACCACCACCAGCGGGAGTTGGGCCGGGAGATGAACTGTGTTCTTACTGTGTTGCAGATTATTCTGCACAAACACCTCTTCGTTGGCTGTGTTCCCTTGGGTTAATATCCGTATTGTTCTGTAAGGGGTGTGTTCACAGACATAATTCTAGAAGCTGAGTCTTATTTGGATGACTTGCTCATGTGTGTTTGTGTGTGGGGTCGTGTATGTGTCCATCACTGTGCAGGGGCGTGCAAGTCAGAAGTCCATATTTGGTGTCTTTTTCTGTGGTTCTATATTTTACTTTTCCAGAATGGTCTCTCATTGAGCCAGGAGCCTGCACATTTGGCTAGAATGACTAGCAGGAGAACACTCCAGGATTCTCCTGTCTCTACCTCCTAATTCTGGGATTGCAGGCACATTCTGCTGTGCCTTTTTAGATAGGTGCTAGGAATTTGAATTTGGCCTCCCCCTCTGCCCCCCCCCCTCGCTTGCATGTACTTTATTCTTTGAACCATCCTTTCAGCCCCAAACCCTATTTGGATAACTTGAGATGAAAACTCTGCTTCTTGTGCATTTAGCTGCAAAAGTTTACACTGTCTTTGTTAGATAAAATTGTTTGCTCATGGACTTATAAAGGATAATTTTTATTTTAACTTATACACAGTAGGGAGTTGAAGACTGGTTGAATTTCTGCTTGACACATAGTAAAATTCTAAATATCTGTGCATTTGCCTTAACTAGCCACTTTTAATTTATTACAATTAAATGGTTGTTTAGAAAGGTTTGAAAATAAGGTTGTCTGTCTAACACGAAAGTTTGCTGTTCCAAGTCAGCATTTCTCAACCTGTGGGCCGCAGCCCCTTTGCGAAACCCAGAAGGGCCTTTTCGTAGGGGTTGTTGAAAACCATCTGCATATCACATATTCGCATTATGATCCATAACAGTAGCAAAATTGCAGTTATGAAATAGCAACAAAAATAATTTTCTGGTTGGGGGTCACCACAACACGAGGAGCTGTATTAAAGGGCTGCAGCTTCAGAAAGGTCGAGAACCAGGGGCCCAAGCAATCCGTGTACAAAGTCATCACAACAGCGAAAAATCACGAAAATGATGGCGACAGCAAGAAGCACAGGAATAAATCAGATGTGAAAAATCAAGTGATTAAGCTTTTTCCAGTTTTCTGTACCTACCATTTTAAAAGTTCTCCAGCAAAAAAAATGGCTGCGTATCTTCATATCTTTTGATTCAGAATAACTACCACTGCCATAAAGCCTTTTACAAAAGCGAACATCCCAATTCCCGGAAGCATTTATTTGGACTTTGGGGGCTCAAGTTTAGATTTAACCATTCCTCAAATTCTGTACTGGAGCATGGGCTGGGCTGCTGTGTAGGATGACAACCAGTTGAATGCCCTCCCGGCTGAAACAAGTCAGGACTAACGCTCGGATCTAGACGCCTCCCCATCTATTCTGCTCCCCGTGGACGCTCTCACACACATTCCTCCACGGGCTGGCGATTTTGACTGCCACGACAATCGCGTAAGCATCCTTGAGAAAACACTTGAGAAAGTACTGAAACACATTCTTTGCTGGACCTGTCTTACCTGCCGACTCAGTGCGCCACTACCTCACCGATAGGCAAAAAAAAGGAGAGGAGCAGGGAACTAGATAACTATTACCACTTAGAGAAGGAAGGGAAGCACATCCCAAGGTATTTCCCTGAGTATTAACAAGCTACACAAAGATAATAAAAGTGATTTAAAGTAATTTTCTTCTGGCTAGAAAAGTTCCAATAATAAAGCTTGGCTTCTGTAGAGTGAAACATCTTAGTTTCCAAAATAGTAAATGACAAGAGGACCCATTCAATTCTTAAAGTTGTAATGTGGTTAAATAATAAGCAGATACATTGCATTAAAGTTCAGTCTAGGCCCCCCACGAAGGCAGAAACTGTGTTATGAAAGCTTCTTTGGATTGGACGTATAGGTATTTTGGAAGATGCTTACCTCCTGCCTTTGAGTGAGCTTGGATGCTCTGGCTTCTCCCCAGCAGCTGTTAGCTTGCCACTGCGTTGGGCGCAGCCTAGGCTCCCAGAGTTAGGTGTTCGGGCCCCGCCCTCCGCACTACTGCTAAAACTCCAGTTCTGCCAAACTGATTCCGGTGATTAATAATTGACAAAAGGAAAACACTCTTACGCAAACTTGTGTCCAACCGCAGGTCTTGCAACGACTCCTTCCAGAGAGAAGGAGAGAATGCGGGCTGCACCACTCCCCTCCCCCTTCGCTCTAAGGTCCCAACTTCCAATGCGCTGACAGTCAGTCCTGGGAGACGAGGCTGTGAGGCTGTCCTCCGAGGAATGCAACCCAGTGACTTCTACATTTTTTAAATTCGCTTTTCTGTAGCTCGTTCGCACTTCTCCGGAGATTCGTCTTTCCGGAGGGGGCGCTTTCCCCGACGCTGGGGAGAGGGGCTGAGCAGGGGCTCCGAGGAGACCGAGGTGGCGCTGTCACCTCCGATTGCTGCAGTAAAACCCGGAGTCTAGGCAGAAATGGGAGGGGGGATGGGTGTCACCCTCCCCCTCTCTTCGGCGGGGAGCTTCGATTCTACCAAGGGGGCACGTATTTCGGTGGTGGTGCAGACGATAACAGGGCGTGGGTGGGAAGAGATAGAGAGGGAAAGGGAAGGGGGAAGGAGAAGGAGGAGGAGGAGGAGGAGGCGGCGGCAGCGACCGCAGATAAACAGGCGGTGCAAAGGTGAGCACTCGAGGGCTTTAACCAATGCTCAGGGGAAGCCTGTCAGCATCCATCAGCCTGCAGACCTGATGAGGGTGAAGGGGCCCCGGTGTACGCTGAACAAGGCTGCAGTCTGAAACTCAGCGTCCGGCTGCAAAGTGAGCCCTGGGGTCGCGCCCGGGTAGTGGTCCTCCCACCGACCGTTTGTCAAAAGGCAAAAGAAGAAAATAAACCACTTAAGCACTGGCAGCTAATTGTGGTGCCCTGGAACCTGGAAAACTACCCTCCCCTTCCCAAACGGTCACCTTCTCCCGAGTAGCAGGGAGGTTAAGGTTGAAAAGCTACCCCCACCCTTCCCTAGGGCAAAGAGGTAGGAGAATCGTGCCTGGGGAACTTGTGTGGGCTCACTCACAAGTGCAGGGAATTCATTTGCAGACGACTACGGCCGGAGGGCAAATTGGGAAAGGGGGTCGGCAGGCTGCTGGGTGCCGCAGAGCCGCGCAGAGCCGCTCCTGGGCAGGCTGCCCTGAGCGCAGCATCTTCGCTGGAAACCCGCAGCCAGCCAGACCGTAATCGATCTTCTTTATCCGGGGCAATGCTTGCATTTGACTCCGTGGCTGGGTGCTAAGGGCGCAGAGGGTCTGGAGGCTCCTCATCCTGCATATCCAGTCGAGACTGTTTTCTGTCCAAGATCCCGGGGCGTCCGGGGACGGAAGCCTCTCGATTGATGAACGTTTGGGCAGCGTCTGCCATTCAGCTTCCACTCCAGGAGGGGGAGGCATCCTAGGCTGCACTGAGCTGATTGTGCTGAAGCGCGAATTTGAGCTACTGGCAGCTTTCTGTTCTTCCTCACGACACACTTTGAGCAGGATGGGAGCTCCAGCGCTACGCAGAGGGAGCCTCCCGCTATTGGGCGGCGGTATCTCCATGCAGGAGGCAGGGTGTCCCCCAAATCTGAGGGTGGTTGGGGGCTGGGAACGAGCCCGTGGAACACAAGCCCGTGCTTGCTGTTGCTCTCCGCGGTCTTTCTTTTCAGCTCGTGTATATAGTTCTTCTATCTCTTAATCACGTTGGTTGGTCACATTCCTTTTCTCTTGGCTTCTCCTGAGACACCTTCCAATGTTTTCCGGGCAGACACGATCACTTTAGAGGCGCAAGAGAAGCTCTGAGAAATAACTGTTTGAGGGATTACCAATATTCTTCCTATTCGTTTCTCCCACTAGATTGTGACATCGCCTCCACGGCACTGTGCATAGGGGGAAAAAGAGATGTAGCTCCTCCTGCCAAAAGCTTGTGAAACGGGCACCTTTTGCAACCACTTTCCATAGAAGTTGGAGGAAACTCACGCCCGCCGCTGGCAGGAGAGTCCAGGCCACTATATATGATACTTTAAAAACGGGCACACAGGCACGTCGTCATGGTTATCTGGACATTTCCCAAGAAGAGAAAATATCGTCTATGTGTGCCATATGAACACAGCCCTGAGTCACAGGATAAAGGTCGTCACAGCTTAAAGGCAGAAAGCCATTCAAACTATATCACACTTTGAAATAGAATAAGTATAAAATTAGCAAAATAGAATTTATATTTGGAGATCTAAAGCTGTTTTAAATCTGGATTAAACTGTCTGGAGCAGTAGTGCATTCCTGTAAAGCTAGCATTCAGAGGTAGAGGCAGGACAGTTAGGAGTTCACCGTCATCTTCAGGCACGTGGTGAGTTCAAGGTCAGCCTCGGCTACATGAGACACAGTTCCCCCAAGCCCCAACCAAACAAACAACAATAATAAACTAAATGCAGATCAAATACAAATGGAAAAAAATCACAAACTTTTAAAATATTATTTTACTTGTACAAACTGAAATGGTCCAGGATGGTAATATTTGATACAGATGTGCAGTTTGTAAAGATAATCAGGATAGTTAACACTTCCATCTCCTTAACTTAAAGATCTTTTACTAATATGAAATAATTGTAAATATTTGTGGGGTACAGTGTGTTAAGAAATAGTAAGCCTTGGGACGGAAGAAATGGTCCCATCTGATGGGTACATGCTGTGCTAGATGATATTTAAAATTGACCACCCTAGGCACCAACCCTAAGGAGTCAGCTAAGTGCAGACATAAAGTGTATGTTTCCTGAAGCTTCCAGATCTGACCGTGGTGCTGTGGTGAGAACAGCAAGGACTTCTTTGAAACAAACCAGCTATAGGTTCAAGTACCCATCTTTCTAGGAACCAGATCTGTGGTCTGAACAAACCATTCCAGCATCTCTTCTAGCTTCCCAGTTACTCAGTTATGAAGCAGGAGTGATGCTGGCTTCACAGGGCTTTTCTGAGGATGAAATCAAACACCTTTAAAAAGGCTGCACACACCTGATATTGCCTCCAGTCCGTGATTCTAGTTTCTCAGATATGCATATGCTTAGGCTGAGAGGCCTTTTAGCAGAGAAAAATCCCCAACCCTTAAATCTTCTAGAACCTAGTATTAGAATAAAGATCACATTGATAATAAGAGGCAGAAGTTTGTTCTGAAAATTAAAAAGAAATAATTCCATTAATAGGCCAGTGTGGATATCCTTATCAGTCATTAGCAAATGACTCATTTGAAAAGAGATTTGTCCTCTGTCTTAGTTTGGGTTTTTACTGCTGTGTAGAGACAAAATGACCACGGCAACATTTTAATTTTTTTTAATTTATTTTTGCCTCATACAATACATTCTGACAATATATCCCCACCACAGCCTCCCCTCCTTTCACACCTCCCAGCACCCCCGACTCCAGACCTCCTCTCTCCTCCAGATACACTCCTGTTTTCCTTCAGATAAGATCAGACCTCCCAGTGATATGAGCCAAACACGGCATAACAAGATACAATAAAATTAAACACAAACCTCTCATAACAAGGCTGGATGAGGTAACCTAGTAAGAGGAAAAGGGTCTCAGGAGTGTAAAAAGTCAGAGACACCCCAACTCCCACTGTCAGGAGTCTCAGAAAAACTTCAAGCTAAACAGCCACACATATATGCAGAGGACCTAGCAAAGACCTGTGCAGGCTCCATGATTGTTGGTTCCCTCTCTCTGAGCCAGTATGAGCCCTGCTGAGCTGATTCTCTGGGCCTTGTTCTCCTGGTGACCTTGACCCTCTGGTCTCCCCTTCCTTCCATGGGGTTTCCTTGAGCACCTAATGTTTGGGTGTGGGTCTCTGCACCTGTTCCCAGAAGCTGCTGGAGGAAACCTCTTTTGGTTAGTCCTGTTTGGTTCTGCCCTAAGTATCTGACCTATCCAGCTTCTGATTTCTGGACATCCAGGCAGTGTCAGGCATGGGCTCCCTCTCATGGTGTGGGCCTCAAGTTAGATCAGTCATTGGTTGCCCGCTCTCGCAAGCTCTGAGCTACCATTGTCCAAGCACATCTTTCAGGCAGGACAAGTGTGGGTTAAGGTTTTGTGGCTGGGTGGGTGTCTCAGTCCCACCACTGGGAGTCTTGCCTTGTTATAGAAGATGGCCAATTCAAATTCCATATCTTCTGTTGCTATGAGACCTCCCTAGGTTCACCCTCATAGGATCCAGGAAGTTTCCACCCCGTGCTTGGTTTCATATCACCTCCTAAATGCTTCCATATTCCAGTTATTCACTCCCTGTATTCTCTTCCTGTCTTTCTTCACTCCCCAGCCTGATCCCTTCCATTCCCATGCCCACCTGCTCCTGCTCACCCACAAAATCTATTCTACTGACCCTTCCTATGTGTCCCCAATACAGCCCTTCTCGTTACTCAGCCTCCCCGGGCCTGTGGATTGTAGAGTGAGGATCTTTACTGCTAATATCCACTTATGAGTGCATAGCATATTTGGCTTTTTGGGTCTGGGTTGCCTTGCTCAGGATTATTTTTCCAGTTCCATCCATATGGCTGCAAATTTCATGATGTCACAGCTGAGTAAATATACCATTTCTTACATAAATAAAAGGTGTGTAAATATACCACATTTTCTTTATCTATTCTTCAGTGTAGGGACATCTAAGTTGTTTCCAGCTCCAGGCTATTATGAATAGAGACTTCACAAACAGTTGAGCAAGTCTCCCTGTGGTAGGATGGAGTATCTTTTGGGTATATGCCCAGGAGTAGGATAGCTGGGTCTTGAGGTGTTGTTTCCCTGATTTCTTTCTGTTTGTCATTTGTATCTGAGGGCTACTATTTTGTTTTTGTTTTTTAGTTAATCTTGTATCCAGCTACTTTGCAGAAGGTGTTTATCAGCTGTAGGAGGTCCCTGCTAAAATTTTTGTGACTGCATATGAATCCTATCATATCATCTGTGAATAGAGATATTCTGACTTCTTCCTTTCCAATTTGTATTCCCTTGGTCTCCTTTAGTTGTCTTATTGCTTAAGCTAGAACCTCAATTCAGAACTATATTGAATAGATACAAAGAGAGTAGACAGCTTTGTCTTGTTTCTGATTTTAGTGATTTGTTTTTGAGTTTCTCTTAATTTGATGTTAGCTATCAGCTTGCTGTAAATTGACTTTATTATGTTTAGGTATGTGCCTTGTATCCCTGATCTTGCCAAGACTTTTATTATGAAGGGGTGTTGAATTTTCTCAAAGGCTTTTTCAGTTTGTTTATATGGTGGATTACATTGACAGATTTTCATTTGTTGAACCATCTCTGGAATGAAGCCTGCTTGATCATGGTGGATGATGTTTTTGATGTGTTCTTGGATTTGGTTTGTGAGTATTTTTGCATCAGTGTTCATGAGGGCAATTTGTCTGTAATTCTCTTTTTTGTGGAATCTTTGTGTGGCTTTGGTAGTAGGATAGCTGTAGCCTCATAAAATAATTATGGCAATGTTCCTTCTTTTTCTACTTTGTGGACTAATTGGAGGACTATTAGTGTTAGCTCTTCTTTGAAAGTCTGGTAGAATTCTGTGTTAAAACTGTCTGGTTCTGGGCTTTTGTTGTTGTTGGGAGAATTTTAATGACTGCCTCTATTCCCTAAAGGATTATAGGTCTATTTAAGTTGTGTATATGATCTTGATTTAACTTGCTAAGTAGTATCTATTGAGAAAATTATCCACTCCTTTTAGATTTTTCCACCTTCTGGAATATAGGTTTTAAAAACTGGACCTAATAGGTTTCTCTGCTGATGAAACAAACCAATTCAAGCCAAATTAAAAGAAAAAAAAAAGAGGCAGAATTACTGGGGGCAGCTCTTGGACAAGTTCACCAGACCCAAGAAATGGGACCAGGGAAAACCCCATGCAGACAGGTGTCGGGAGCCACTCCCGCCATTACAAGATGGCGCCGGTTTCCTGCTTCCTGGTTCTTCTTGCCAGCATTGTTTTGCGATCTGC